GTTGTCTAATTAAATGAGTAGCCACAGTTACATTTGCACCAATTGGCTATGAAATAAAATCAAAAATATGATAAATATTGGAAAAAAAATAAAAGAAATCATCTCATTTACCATTGTAAAATCTGCACCAATACATGCATCTTTTTTAAGTAAACGACGAATTGCTTCAACACCACCACGACCATAATCACCTAATTATATTTTAATGATTTAATATAAAAAAAGAACATATTTCTTTTATTAAATTTACCTTCAGTACCAATTGTTGCAACATAAGTCCATTTAAATTGTCGAATAATATCTACAATAGCTTGTGCTTGTTGTGTATCTGATGCAATAACTCGTGTAAAATATTTAAATTTTTCTTTATCACTTAATTGTTTAGCTGTAGCTGAATATCCAATTTGTGGCATTTCAAATAATTGTAAAATATTATGTGTTTGCATTGTTATTGAACTATCACCTGGTCCAATAATAGCAGCTAATCGAGATCGACCACCATTACCAGTCATTGTTGAATCACTAGTAGTTAATACTGAATGTCCAATAAATTCAATTGTTTGTTCAAGTGCAACAGGTGCATACCAACATGAATCACGTATTTGATAACCTATAGTTATATTTGGTAATATAGATTGATTTGCATTGACTATGAAAAATAATAATCATGATTGTTAGTTTAAAGAAAAAAATTCTCTTTTTTTTTGACTTTACTTTGATCGAGAATCCAAAAAGTACCTTCGACACGATGTATACCATAATCTTCACGGATGTCACCACTAAACAAAAAAATAGATATTTTTATATTTCGAGTGTTTAAAAACTTATTATGTACCATTCTCGTAATCGACCACCTCCATGTGATAGAGGAGGATGATGTAAAGAAAAAAAAGCGCCAATAACAATGTCAGCTTCAGTTGCAGGTGAAACAGCTAAAAATATATAAATTATGATTTAAGATATATGACTGAATATGTCATAGAAATAAAAGTACCCAGTTCTCTAAACTTTGGTCTAAAAATAAAAATATCGAAAAATTCGAAAGTGAAAAATTAGCATTGAAGAACTGTATCCACACTAGAGTTCATCAATTTCAAAAGTTTCCGATTCGATTAATCAATTGTTTTGCAGATTTTAATACTAAAATTTAACTCACTTCAAAGGAAAAACATGCTGAAGTCTTTGTCAAAATTTTTATTTTTGTCTAATGTTGAGATTAAAAGTTACCCTTAAGTTAAGTATTACTATCCATGTGGAAATTTAAACATCTTAGCTCATGTAAAATAGTTCGAATTTTGTGTCGGTAAATGTTTTAAAACGTTTTCAGATACTTAGAGATGCTATTTTGAGTGAAAAATGTTCCAACGCGCTTGAATTTCTTACTGTAAGTAGTTTATTCTAGTTAAATGACTTGTAATCACTAACAAATACGACTTATCAGTATTTATCTGAGCTTTACGTCTATTTTATGGCACACAAACAGTTTGAAAAATAGTCCACAATGAGGAAATTTTTTTAACATGAACATAAAATAATGCCATTTTCTTTTGTGTTCGACTAACATTAAATTTATATGTATTGCTATAGATCTTAACTACTTATTATTTTCACTGAAACATGTATCATTGTTCGAACGAAAAACTATATCTCTTATTTTCATGTATTGAATTATCTCAAAGTTTACTCTCAAAAACAAAAAGAAAATATTTAAAACCTGTCAAATGTTTTTCAATACCTGATAGACGATTAAAATAACACATAACAATATGAGTATGTGGGAACATAGGAAATAGCCATGCGATAATGAGAATATGGGTCAAAAAATGATTTGTTACGAAATGAGACAATTTAGAAAATTGCTTGAACATGGAGATAATAACAAGAAATAATAATAGCAAGGCAACAAATATAAATTAAGAATTAAAGATTTTATGGTAACATGACGTAAGAAGAACATTGATTTGTATAATAAAGAAATAAACTTAAACTCATATGTTGTTTGAGCACCATGAGTCATTGCAATACTTCATTGTTTTTAAGCAAAAATAATATTTGAAAGCTCTAAAATAAAAACAATAGAAATAAAATTACTTATTATTTTTAAATAAAAATTTGCTTAATTCTTAATAATCTTACTATTCAATTATGCATACAATTGATTAATTAATAATCAAACATGTATATACAATTTTGTTTTGATTCTTTAGTGATCGTTCTATCTATCAATAATAAGCTGTGCACTATACTAATATTTTTCTTTAGTTGTCGGCAAACGACTCGTATAAGAGTGATGTTCAATGATTACTGTTCAAGATTGCTAGTCTTCTTTCTCTCTTTTTCCTTTATTATTTTTTTCTCTTGTGCTCGAATAGACGATCGTCTTTTTCCGCTAAGTCATCCTTGCTTTGTGTTGCCGATATATCGGGCGTAGACTAAGAGACGTTATCTGAATTGAATTAAGTTGGTGTCCGTTCCTCTTTTTTTTCTCGATCTCTTTCGTTATCCGTTTATGCTAACAAGAAAAAACTTTAAGCTTGAGACATAACAAAATTCTCATAGTTAAAAATAAATCATCATCAATAGATAAAGTCAACATCATTACATAGTCATACAAACTCTTAATATAGCAATTCTTTATAAGCATATTTTAATTAAGATTAATATAATCCACTTGTTCTTTAGATGATCAATTTCTATTATTGATATTCATCAGTCACGCTTGTTCAATCTACACTCGGGCACAAACTTTGCTACTATACTTTTTTTTCTCCTTTCTTTTTTAACTTCTCTTTTCTAAAGGATGATAAGAAAGAAAGAAAAACTTTTTTTTATTATAGTTAGATGTGTGTCACACACATGCTAATTCTTCTTTTTTCGTCAATATTGTTGCCGGTTGCCGAACTGATACAAAAAAAGAAACATTATCAGTTCTAGTAGTAATGCATGAAAATAAGACCATTCATGTGCTTCTTCGATCGCATCGTTCAAAATTATAATTCCATATCCTGCTGTTGTTTGTAACGTCGAAGACAAATTTTTTTTCTTCTTTAGATGACTGTATTAGCATCGTTTTTAAAGCAAAAATATAGAATTTATGACATATATTAAATTAAATATATTCTTGCACAAAAGTTCTCTTGTTTCTATGTATTATCAGCTTTAACATTCAACAAATACTTCAACTATGTTCTATATATGATTTTTTTCGTGTGAAATTAAGGATTGCTTGTAACTTGATCAATGTTTAGTTTTTACCTTAAAGGAACAATCGAATTTATATAATTTTTTTGTAGTTCATCTAATTGAATTGAGCTTTAAAGAAATGTAAGCTTGTCTTTGAAAGAAAAAAATACTAATCCTTTAGTTGTTTTCACTTTATATCTTTAGTAAAAAAAAATAAAAAACATTATTAATAACTTGTCGATGACATTAAGACAAAAACTTTCTTCAAAGTTTTGTTACTTACACGATTTTTATTCGTTAAAGAACCGTCTATGAAAAATGGTATCTCTTAGAAAATCTATTAAATTCAAAATGCTAATATTGTTTTCATATCATATGTTAAACTCTTGAAATTTACACTAGCTACCAAAATTATTCAATAAAAATATAATGTAGAGAATTATTTGCTCTATCGTTTTGTTTTAGTCTGAACAAAATTTTGTTTACTCATTCCGGTTAATGAAAAACTGGAGACTCGGTTTTCTGGAAATGTTGTTTTCGAACATCTGATTATCATCTGTATTTTCTTATATTCTTGTTGAATAGTTTTAGTAGTCGCTGCATTACTTTTGTCTACACTGTAATAGTAAATACTACAACAACGAATTATACAAATATATTTGACACAATCGAAATGAACGAATTGTGAAAGCATTTCAATTCTTTATGATTCTTACAAAACATAATAAAGAATCTTTTGAACAAATATGTAGAACATATTCATATGCGTATTTATTTTAATAATTTATACAGAATATATTATTTTCAATAAAACCCAAAGAGTGCTTCTTTTTTCGACAAACAATGATATGGAGGAAAATCAAGCTATTATACTATATAATGATTCAAGAACAAAAAAAAGAGATTTTTGCAGAATAAGCAATGACAAAGATCTATGCCAAATAATACTTTTTAAAACGAATAATATTCAGATGAAGCAAAAAAAGAAGATATTATTACAATAGGAACTTTTACGAGTATTATATTTTTTTTTTTTGTTTTTGATTTTCAAAAGAAAAATTTCCAAGATTCTAAGATTTTTTTTAATCTGTCACTATGATTTGGGAAAAACTAATCTTTTGACGCTAATATAGAGAATAGCGTTAGAGAAAATTCTTTGAGTTTGACTTGAATAAAAGTTACTCATTAGTTTACTGTCAAACTATTCAAAGTAATATTCATTCAGGTTACATCATCATCCATAACAAACTTCCGAGTATCAATAAAATATTTTATTTAATTGCTGAAAATTAGTATTTTAAAGTATTGCTTTAACATTTGAACAAAAATTAACATGAAACATCTTCACTCTGTGTAAGATTGCTGGTGATTTATGTGTATTATATATTATTTTATTCGAAAAGTTTACTATCAAAACTTACACTTTAATTGTTATTCATACTCATTAGATATTCTAAGCTAAAAGAAAATTGTTGAATATCATGCAATGATCGGAAATGAATTCCTTTCAGTATAATTAATTATTTGATTTGTTAATCGTAAAAGCTTTAAAAAAAGAAAACGGAAGAAGAAGACACTTTCATTTATTTCTTATAACTAATGGCCTATAAATTCTTTAAGTGCACTACTAAAAAGTCATACAAGAAAACTTATTTTTGAATTTCATCAACAATATGAAATTGTATATGTTATTTCTTTTTCTTACTGGACATTTCTCCATGGCACAAGCTGCTTGTTCCTTACCGATTAAATTCTATATTGATTGTGGAATAATAAGAACAGCTAGCAATGCATATCAGCTTTGCCAAAGTCATCAAATGACTGTTGTAAATTTAACTAATGGAACAGCATCATTAACAACTGATATTGCTCTACTTAATGCTACGTTTACAGCACAAAACTGTAGTGGATATTTTTGGTTTTCATCTGGTTCACAGACAGGTTTAGTTGCTAATACTAATGCTCTTGGTGGATTGCTCGGCGCTCTTACGGGTCTGTTGACTGCTGTTTTATGTCTTATACCATTGTTGTGTCCAGCAACTACAACAGCAGCACCTATTATTTATGCTTTTACTGTATGTTCTCGTACAATACAACAAAGTATTATACAAAAGTGTTCAACACCATCTCAACGATTGGGTATAGTTCAATTCCATTTCAATAAACAAAATATGTATGGTGGAATATTGAATACATTTTCTTCACAAAATTCAATAACATGTAGTGGTATATGTTCATCAGATGATTCATGTGTTGGTATGACATTCAACAACGGAACATGTACTCTTTATATGTAAACAAAATTTTGAATATATTGTGGTAAAAAGAAAACGAGTATGAAAATAAAATATTGAAAAACTTATCGCGTGTGATATTATCATTATACGAATCATGTTTTCGAAAATAAATTCATGTCACTATAAGATGTCATTGTGTTTTACCTAACATAAATATTTTCTCAGCTGACAACGAAGAGTATTTTCCCGAGAAACCTGAATCTGTTGTCAGTTTTATCTAAATCAATTATTAAGATTCAACATAATTTTATATACGTATGTATCATTTTTGAAAACATGCTTCAAACAATATATGCAACAGTACAGAGGAATAAGACGACACATTTCAAAAAAAAGCTTGTTAGTGCAGCCCTAAAGGCGCTGAAATGTGGAGCTCACGTATATTCTTCGGCTTCATTATACTAATATGAAATATAGATAGTATAAAATCACGAATTTTCTAATTTTCTGACCGGCATCCTTATTTTGCGTTTTCTTTGTTGCTATTCACTCAATATTTTTCATTTTAAACACATGTTTCTTCTTTAATTTTACATTTTTATTATAAGAAGCATTGAATTATATGGCAAATGAAACTGTTATATATATATGTATGTATATCTATATCCATTATTTTAAATCTGGTCGCTAAGATCTGTAATGGGGAGTATGTCTGTAATGTTCTTTCAGTTGCTATGATCTGTAATGGTGGTCTGTCTGTAAGAGGAGGGAGCCGCGAAACCTTGACCTTAAAACGTACACTCACTATTTTCTTCGAAAATATACGTGAGTTCCACAAAAGAACTCGTATGATCTACACAGGTCATAGCAATATGGTCATGTTCAATTCGAATATTGTTGTGAACGATATACAAAATAATCGCGTACGAATGAAACTAATAAATAGTTAAGCACATCTTTGTGAAATAAGCTTAAAAAGAAGATAATTTTTACTAACTATTGAAATGATATTTCCTATTGAAAGTAATGTTTGTGCTAGTAATGAACAGTTTGATAGACATGTACAGGTAGGATACCCTAAGTCAGAATTCGAGTATTTTCCGTGGTGATTTTCCAATTCACTGAACCCAGCTCTTGACGAGCTCTATCAAATACACTAATGCCGGTTCATTTTCGAAAAAGTCACTATTGAGAAAAACGTCATCAACGTTCCACGCGTCCATACAAAATATGCACTAAGAAGATAAAAGCTTTTTCTTTATTTCAATTTGAGTGTGGGTGTAGAAGGAAGTAACACGCACACCACACTCACACCAGACCAGTCCACACTTACCATGCGAATCTATACTCACACCCATCCGCCATCTGAAACTCATCACTCGGCAAATCCACTTATTCTCTAGACAAGAGCCAACAATCATATGATCGTACACATCGAATAATGTACGATATTGACTCTCTGACATGTTTCCCACAGTTTGACATTACTCTTTACAAACTAGAAAAATTAGAAACAAGATTCTCTGCCAATGATCATTTTTGATCAATGATTCCAACATTTGATTATTTTATTTCATTCTCGATCTTATCAAGTCGTATTCGTGAAGATTATGAACATCGCTTGAGATCTTAATCTCTCAGACGTCTCAACTATCCACTATAGGTAGTTCGAAGAATAATTCTCATATGTCTATAGAAAACTTGCCATTATACACCAAGAATACATCAATCTACTAAAAAGGTTGTGGATACGGTGTGAAACAATATGTTAGATTTAGTCATTCAACTCTTATAATGTACTGTAAAGAGTTTCAAATTTATGTAAAACGTTGAATTTTAATATGTAAGCTATGCAAAACGATGTGAGTTCACAATTATGAAATGTTAAAGTTTCGAGAAGCAGTGAACTAGAAATTTCTAATGATTTTGTAAAACAAAATTGGTAATGATTAAGATGTGAACATAGAAGAATTCCTGTTTTTTCTTTTCGCATAAACTTGTTGTTTGATTAGTGCATACTCTACTCTGAACATATCAGTTCAGAAATTCGACGATTCTACACATTGTATTGAATATTTCAGTTCGTGAAAAATCCTTTTCCTTTTTTTTAAGATCTGGTTTTATTCGATGTATAGTTTTTACGTAGAATATATTCCTTCTTTGTCCATTTGATGCTGAACAAAAAACCCATTAATCTAGTTGAGAACCTATGAAGCTCTACAAGAACTACAGAAAGAAGTCATCGTCTCAATTAATTTCTTTTTGATGGAGATCTCTATCCATTAATTGAACGAGTCCACTCGAAATTCAAAATAGAAGGAACATGCATATGATTTTGAATGTGAATCTTCTGGAATTCTTTCAGACACACACACACTCTGCTAATTAAAATTGCTAATAGTAATTTTATCGAAGTTGGAAGAAAGTACTAGATAAAGTAAAAAAAAAACTATATAATTTAAATGTAGCTTGGCTTTATCGAAGAGAAGTTTAGAAGATCTTAGAATACTCTACTGATGAAACTGACACAGTTGATCAGGATTTTAATAGTATAATGTTGGAAAGATAATGTATTTTGTAACTATAATGTTTCGAATGATCAAAATAATTTTTTTCATTTTATAATTTGAATAAAAACTATTGAATACTATCCAAAACTCTGAACAAACAACAATGGTTACTGTTAAAGTTGTCGAATTTAGCAACATTGAATAATAAGAAATTGTCTTTTATTTACATTTTTGAAAAAATAAAAAAGAACTATTGAATTCTGCTTTGAAGTAAAGCCAATCGTTTATCTTGATATTCTCTATTATGATCACATGAATATTCCCATTGAATGAGTGTAACATTGGCTGGACTATGTTTGCCACGTTGGCAACCGCCCATCATATCAGAAGCTTGTACGATCTGATTACAAGAAATATATTTAAAACGTTGTTTCTCACGTTCTAAACGTTCTTTTTGTTCGGGTGTCAAAGCATTTGTTGTTGAGTGTTTAACAGCTTCTGCTTCTTCTTTCAATAACTGTGCTATTGCAGCTTGTTGACCCCATTGTGTAAGCAAAAGTGAATGATTATCGTAAACAAATCCATCATGATGTATAAAATACCCATCTTATTATCTTGTTCAAGATAAAAATCATTACATTGGACACATTTAATTGGTTGATCGGCACGGCGCATTGCAGCTTCTTCTTCTTCAATTTCGCTTACCGAACGTGTAAATGCGTCATTATCACAAAATTGCCGCAGAAGAAATGGATCGCGTATGACCATTACAGACCATTTTTCTTCATTGATAACCATATCTTTATTTTGATCGTTATTAATGGATGTTGATGATTGTATATATGCACTTACAAATTTATCTTTAACATATGTGTAGACATTATGATTAATTAAAGATAGATTTGTTGATCGACCCATTGATGAATTACCTTCACTTATGGAACGACGATAAGCTGCACATTCATCGAGACGTTCCTTTAATATTTCAAATTTTTCTTTTTCATTATAAGCACTTTCAGCCGATAATTGATTAAGATCAATAAGTTGTAGTAATTGAACATTGCGTGACTTTCCATAGATAGTCAAACGTTGAAGTAATTCTTGTATGCTCGTTTCTGAATCAGTTAAAAATTCTACATAGACAACATTTTCACGTTCACCCGTAATCAGACGTATATTTATCGCTTCAACATCAATCCGTCGAGCATTTAAGTTAACAATAATTTTTCCCGTATATACAGAATTCTTTTTATTGGCTAAATCATTAAATCTTGATCTAGGCTCTTGGTTATTCCTAAACGAAGGATTACTATCGACAACACGTAGTAGTAGAGTAGGCAATGTTTCTGAACCAATGACAATACGATATTGTCGAGCAGTCGTATCGGCTAGTTGAAGCATCGTACGATAGTCAAGTTGATAACGTGGATTGAGGCGTTGCATATCAATGCCGTGAACTGTAATCAAGCGACGAAGAGCTCTGTAAAAACAAAAAATAGAACATACATAGGAACTTTTTAATACAATTCGAATAGAACTATCTCTCTATGTTTTAATATGTTTAATAGCAACGAGACACTATATTGATACATTCGAAAAAAATTACACTGTTTTTCGACTCGATTTTTGACATAACACAGTCATTTTCAAAACAATGAAATTGCAAGATTTTGACTTGATATTTTGCCTACAAGTAGGTCATGCTGCTATTAGAATGCTATGAAATTGTCAACGAAAATGAGTTTGTTTTCCTTGAAGGGTGTGGGTGTGGGCGTGGGTGGGATGTGTGGGTGTGAGTGTGACTCTTCTCTTCGCTTTCACTTACACCCACACCAACACTCACGCCCACACCCACAGCCACAGGCACACCCATTCCCACACCCACACACCCCCACCCATACCTATCGAAGGAACTTTTGGAATAGTTCTTGGGATCGAAACTGATATGGAACTGTCAAAAGGTCTTGCTAAAAAACTAGCAAAATATGCCAGCTTTAGCTCTCCAAAAAGATTGACAGGGAACGGTATGAGTGTTGGTGTGATTGAAGAATATAACTACTTGACATGATACTCTATTATAAGGCTATTTCTTGTTGATATTGGTATCAATGCAATCGCGTGTGATGATCAAATGTATTTATGGTCAAATTTTTACAAAAGACAAATCCAATGTGTTAGATATCATCAAGTTAGCTCTTCCGTTAGTATCTATCACGAGAATGTTATATTACAATCGACTGCCATTGGTGACATACTGTTTTTGGAAAACACTTGATTTCATGAAAATGAATGTCATCAGAAAATACATTAGTGGATATCGGTTTCAAAATTCATTCATATCTATGTGATCGTACATTATCTACTAAGAACACAGAGTTTGCTGCTATTTTTTTCTTATGATTATGGTTTATGCGTAGGAAAATGTTTACTCATTGAAAACAATGCAAAAAGTTTCATCAAAATGAAAACATAATTCGCTTTTAATGATAATTTCAATGTCGACTATAGATAATCAATTACAATATTGCAAAAAATACAAAACCATTCGTTTTGAAATTAAATTAGATACACGATGTATCATTGAAGGATAATTTTGTATCAAACTACATTTAATGAAGTTTAATCTATTAGAACTATTTCATGATAATTGCAATGTAATAAAAACAGTTACATAAAAAAGATTAATTATAGTATCATATAGAATGGATGAAACATTTTTCACTGAATGGCCGGTTATAATTGCATTGAAAACAAACGTAATAATTATATGAAATTAACTTTTTTTTTCATATAAGTTTACAATAAATTATTGGGTTGGCAAGAAAGTAATAAAAAAAAGACGCAAAACTTTCTTGCCAATCCAATATATAATTTTATAAAACCAAGTTTGTTTTATCTTATTTTAATTGGGAATAGATAATTCTATTATAACATTAAGGATATCTTAAGTGAAATAAAGCAAACTATTTTCATACGATTAGCGTGGAATGTAATTGTCGATACACGAGAAGAGCTCGAGCACACTCATATCTGCACCAACTCTGACTCTGCATGACACATCATATCAATATCTTAAGAGATAGCCCATCACAAGAGCACTCTAGGTGACCAGAGCAAACATGTTTATCGATTTAATTATGCCAAATAAATTTTCTAGTTAAAACATACTCAAATAAACAAAAATTGAGTTGTTAAGTTTATATCATGAAAACATAAGCTGAAAAAGATGCAAAAGATTCATTTTGACTCCCGAAAGTTACTAAACAAGAAAGTGCTTACTATTTTGTTATTTTCTGATGCATTGTCTGGGTATTTGAGCGCAAAGGTTGCTCATTTGAAAGAGAACACTCTAGACTAGAAATCTTCTATTTAAGTCACTAATATATGCGGCAAAAGAACTCTATTAGTCACAAGCTGCCCAATACTTTAAAAAGGACGTATTTGAGCATGTAGGTATTCTAGGCTTTTTTTTGAATGGTGCACACAGTACTACAGTTATTTTTTTTACGAGTCATAGATCCCTTCAAGACGCAGTCATTAGCACTAGTTTGTCTATAACAAACTCTTAAGAGGGCGTGAGTGTGAGTTTCATTTTTAATTGTAGCCATACCCACACCAACACTCGCATACATCCCATATTCATCTAGGTCTACACCCATACACATTTATGCTAATGTAATGCATTTAATTTATTCATCAAAATCAGAGAAACAAATTCGATTAAAGAAGGTAAGTAAAGCTGTAAACGTTGACAAGACTCATACCAAAAGTCACAACTACACATTCAAATAAATCTGATGTCAATCAACATGATTCATAAACCGAACTCATTTATAATGTTTTTAGCTTCGAAGTCAACCCCTTTACCAATCACGTCACAAATCATTTTGGCTGGATCATGTTTAACTGTAATTTTTAATTGTTCTTGACTATTGGTTGAAATGAATACAAATCAAATTTCCCATTTTCATGTAATCACTTGAAATAACAGGTCTAGAAGAATTCATGAACTCTAGACTTTTTTCAAGACACACGACATAAATGTTTTAAAAGATTACACGCGTTGAAAGTGCACGTAATCCGGTTACATTCGGTTTTCAAAATGAAGGTCACACAAATTGAGACTGAAAGAATGAAATTTAGTTTTCATAGCATACTGAGGTCATAAGAATGACTTGTTCAATTGTGGATAACTGCATAAGTAAAATTTACATTCAAGTAACTAAATAAGACTTAAATTGTTGAATGTAATCCGTCCATCAATAAAATAAATATGATCAACGGAAGCAGTATTTATGCTGTTTTCATCTGGTTTCTCTCGCGAACATACGTTTTCAGCATCGAAAAACGCGTCTCTAGGCTCTTCACAATACAAACGTTGCGATAATAAAAGCTATCGTGGAGCACAAAATATATTTGATTCTCAGAGCATATAGTGAAGATAACGCTGTGTTAAAACAGTATCAACAAAAACGAGAAATAGAACACATTCATTTTGATATCTGCAACAGCTTATATTCACCTTGAATATCAAGAACAAAGTAAAAATTGTAATGAATTTGTTTAAACGTGATTCAAAAAGTACACAGCAAAATGGTTAGTAGTTATTCCAATACGATTTTAAAATCTATTATCCGCTCATGTTTCTCATTCATTTAGACTAGTTTGTAGTCAAAAGACGAGTAGGAAATTTTTTTAATACATTTCAAAAATCTTTTCAAGATTCGTAACAATACTAAATGTCGTGCTATTGTCTTCAGGCGAAAACTTTTTTCGAGCTTCAGTGTTGATTTAATATTAACTATGTGCAGCCCTTGAATTGTAGTTAGTAGTTCAAATTAGATAAAAATTATCGTGCATAATTAACTTAGTTATATGGGTTGTATTTAGTACTATATACAATTATGATTAAAAAGTAGATTGATAGATGTATAGGTATTCAAAGTAACGCGGTTGTATAGCTCAAAGTCTATTCTATTTATTTTAATAGGTCATTAATGAATCTTCCTCTAGCAAAGTTTCTATAGTTCTTTGTTTTGCTGTAATTACAGTTGTAATCGAGCAAGAAAAGATCAAATTTGAAGATTTGATTGTTCATATCCTAGCGAGTCAGTAGTGCTACCGGCTCTCAGCTCAATAAGACTTTCTGGATGAAAATTTAATATTTTCTGTCGATCATCTGTTGAGTAAAGTAAGGAACAATTGAAGAAATAATTATAATTATCTTTATCAAATGCTTAAAAAACATGGCATAATTATCATTTTAGCTGTGAATCAACAACCTATGTCGACTATTTCTGAACCAGATGTCGTAACCTTCTGTCAGATAATCTGGTCCAATGATAATTATATCTACGAGCCAGAACCACCACATGCTATGCTTGCTCTGGCCGCATTAAAACGTCTTAACTTCCGTGTTCATCCACCATATTGCACTTCAATCGAGAGACTTAGAGTAACGCATTATTTATGCGAACATATGGGCGAAGGTATTCAGTGGCAGATTGTTCAAAATGCTCTTCGAGAAATTGTTAAAAACACTCTCATATCATTGTCTCCTCGAAATTTTCGTAGTGCCGATTATACGTATTATTTTAAATGGACATGTGGATGATATTGTCGCAGCATATTTCATTCAACTTTTCAAAAACTTAACGAATATATGAGTTCTAACGCGATGTCAGTATTTTTGTGCAAATTGAAACATTTTTTTGTATTTCATCATTATTTGTAAAGTTTCAAACAAAAAAAAGTAATACGCACAGTACGATCACCGAGACAAAAATCACCTACGGTCCAAATTCACTCTCTGGAATCATTTAAAGCAATGTTAGTTATGTCGTTGGTTCTGCTCATCACCTTTTTCATTGCCAAGAAACTCTATAGAAAGGATCGGATTTCTCTATTCTTAATTTACTATGCGAAGCGAACTCATTAACTTTTTGACTACCCTCTCCCGTCGTGATATAACGGTGGTCCTACATAGAAACATGGATTACAGACTTAAAAGGATATTCAACATGTTCAGTGGTTTCTAAGTTTTAAACCATAAATGTTAAAGACGATTTTTGATAGCAAATAGTAAAGAGTTATGGGTCTTATATCTCTATTTTGTTTTGGATTTGGCAAGAAAAATTTGCCAATTCTCAAGATTTCTTTTATATGACTCTATGAGTTTGGCTGAACAAATTTTTCGATAAAAATACATTAATACGTAGCGAAGCACTCGAGACAATGCTCCAAATTTGACTTGAATAAAAGCTAAACTTTAATTTTATTTCAGACTATTCAAAGTAATATTCATTCGGTTGTTCCCATCTTTCAAAGAAGCTGACGAATATCAACAAAAAAAAAATAGTTTTAGTCTATACAAACTAATATTTTAAAGTTTTTTAAAGTTCTTTTCGTCACATCCTAACAAAATTTCACATAAAATTTATGTCTTGGACATCACTCTTTCTAAGATTGCTTGTAACTATGTAATATAATATTATTTTGTTGGAAAAGATCATTTTTCAAGTTGACAAAGTTCATTATAAAAACCTTCACTTTAGTTGTTATTCATATTCATCAGACATTTTAGATTAATAAAAATTTCTGAGTACATCCGACCATCGGAAATAAACTTTTTTCAAAATAAATAACTAATAGATTTGTCAATTGTAAAAGCTGCAAGAAAAAACGGAAGAAAAGGAAACTATGTCATTTATTTCTTATAACTAATGGCCTATAAATTCTTTAAGTGAACTACTTCAAAGTCACACAAGAAAACTTATTTTTGAGTTTCATCAACAATATGAAATTGTATATGCTATTTCTTTTTCTTGCTGAACATATGTCCATGACACAAGCTGCTTGTTCCTTGCCGATTAAATTCTATATTGAATGTGGAATAATAAGAACAGTTAGCGATGCATATCAGCTTTGCCAAAGTCATCAAATGACTCTTTTAAATTTAACTAATGGAACAGCATCATTAACAACTGATATTGCTCTACTTAATACTACATTTACAGCACAAAATTGTAGTGGATACTTTTGGTTTTCATCTGGTTCACAGACAGGTTTAGTTGCTAATACTAATGCTCTTGGTGGATTGCTCGACACTCTTACAAATACATTAAATACTGTTTTATGTCTTATACCATTGTTGTGTCCAACAACTACAACAGCAGCACCTATTACTTATGCTTTTACTGTATGTACTCGTACAATACAACAAAGTATTACACAAAAGTGTTCAACACCATCTCAACAATTGGGTATAGTTCAATTCCATTTCAATAAACAAAATATGTATGGTGGAATATTGAATACATTTTCTTCACAAAATTCAATAACATGTAGTGGTATATGTTCATCAGATGATTCATGTGTTGGTATGACATTCAACAACGGAACATGTACTCTTTATATGTAAACAAAATTTTGAATATATTGTGGTAAAAAGAAAACGAGCATGAAAATAAAATATTGAAAAACTTATCGCGTATGATATTATCATTTTAATAATCATGTTATTACAAGTAAACTTGTCATGTATATTAGTCACCGATAGAAAAGTCTAGAGTCGTTTGCTTCTCCGAATCTTTATTCTTGATATATAGAAGTTTTGCTAGATTTTTCAAGTAATAGCTGTAATCTTCCTCTGGTTATGTTGAAAATCGACTTTCGAGTTACAACTTCGAAATTTGCATGAACAAAGTTCTCGATGAGATTAATTGATTGTTTAACTAGTATTCCCTTTCAGATATCAACATGTAAAGAAAATTTGTTGTTACACATGAAAGAGTTTCGAATATTCCATATTCCAGTATAGGAGATATCAGAAGAATTACAATTTGCTCAATGAATTTACCTCATCGAGACATTTATTCTTAGAAGTTAATAAAATTTTGATATATCGAGAACAAAATTTCAAAAAATCAAATCATTTTAGACTTTTCTATTATTCACTAGTATTCATCGACTTAACATTATCTCGGTTGAAAAGCGATATGACACCGGCAGTGAATTGCTTATTAGTTCAATAGAATTTCTTTTTTGAAGTATTTTTCAAAAAAATGTAGCTATGGACATTTGAGAACGCATGTTTAATATAAGAGTGAAATATTTTGAATATACAGTCTCGATATAGATTATTGGAATTGTTAACGAACCATACCAATTATCTTTAATCATTAAATATAGTTTATATTTACAGACTATCATCAATAAGAAGATTAAAAATAAAATCGTGATCTCTATTAATTTTTGGCCACTAGATTAAAAAAAGAATCTGATATCCATCAATGGAAATCTTATCATTTTGTTCTTCCACACTCAAAACATATCATATTGACTATCAATAATCTGAATATTTTATTTTCCTATAGAAATAAAACAAAATATTAAATGAAACTCTATTCAATAATAAAATGACATGCAAATTAAATCATTGAAATAAATATTTAAAATCTTTAAATATGATTCAGCTGTTTTCTTTTAATCAAACATTTCAAATAATTTTCCATTTTTCCAACCAACAAATTTTTTTAATTGTTTCGAACCACTTGTTATTGTTGCTGGAAATTTTAAACAAGCATAATCTTGATTTTTATCATCACCTATTATTTCAATTTTTACATAAAGTGACATGGATGGATATGATGATAAAACAGGTAATGAAAGTGATGCTGTATTAATATCATTGTTATTAATTGGACATTTAATACCTAATTTACAAGCATCTGAATCAGGTAATGGAAATGGAACAGGTATACCAGCAATAATACCTTCGATAAATAAATTAATATATGAAACAAAAGAAAAATTATTCCAATTTTATTTTACCATGTATGCTAACTTTAGCAGTAATTGATGAGTCTTCCGATTGAAATGTTAAATTCATTGTATACGTTTTACCTTTAACAAATTTACATGGAGCTGTTGTACAACCAGTAACATCGAATGTTTTAATTGTACCTGATTTCGATTCACAAACTTTGTATGGTGTTGTTGTCCATACGAAATTTAATGAACAAAATAATAATGTAAGAAGAAAAAATGAAATCATTTTGTGATTTGCAAAAAGAAAAATGAAACGCATATGGTGATCGAACCATACATGTATATATTTACATAGTCAGGTGATTTTTACTCGTACGTTTTCTTTTCTTTGAATGAGAATGACTCATTCGAACTCTTGCTATTGTTTCATTTTACATTCAATTATGTATTTTTATGATTTATATGACGAAAAAAGAAAATTAATTACACAAATATATATATATGTATGTATATAAATTCATATGATGATATTAGAAACATTCCGTTGCATAGATAACAAACGAGCGAGGATATAACACAGAAAAACAAAGCGATAGTGTATTTAAGAAGAAATTTACATAAAACAAAAAAAGCAAGAAAAAAAATGAAGTACAGAACGATTTCTAAATTCTTCTTCGTTTACGGAACAATGATTATGATTTAGTTTCTCATGATATATAGACTTCACATTAATACCATAGTCACATCAACTTATAGCAAGATGTTGAAGAAAAAAGAAAATCTCTTTTTTTTTTTTTAAATACTTTTTTGTTTTTCAAGAAACAAACAAGCAAAACGAAAGAACAAAAAAAAAATTTTTTTCACGGCGAATCTGACAACTAACGATGAGTTTTAATTGTATTGAATGGCATGGTAAAAGTATTAAATCCGGTTAAAAAAAACAGTAGTTGAGTATTTTATATAACATATGTCTAACATATGAAAAACTACGATTTTTCAAACACACGAAGAAAAGAAAACACAAATCAGATCGATATAATAGAAAGCAAAATAAGCAAAGAAAAAGAAGACGAACCATTGAACAACACAAAAAGTGTCTGTAGGAAAATATAAGAAAACGAAATAAGAGACAAGAAAACGCACAATGTATAATATTAATAAATTTTTGTTTCGTTGTAGAACGAGTGCAGCTTTACTGTTTATGGAAACAAAAATAAAAAGGCACCGGGCCAAATAAACAAAACATTCAGGCACATGTATTCAGACTGCTGTCACTTGTTCATGATCATCATAATCAATAGTTGGTTCTTCTATAAATGAGCAAAAAAAAAAAAAAGAAAATGAATGAAAGTAAATCTATCAGTTTTTCAAGTAAAATAAAACCAATTACTCTATTTCAATTTTTTAAAAAGTACTGTTAACATAATCTCTGCAGGATTAAAATATGAAACATAATATAGCCGCTGTTGCTAATCAAAGGATAATTGTTTTATTCTATCTATTTTAGGACTCATTTCTTCAGTATCTCTTTACATAATCTTTCAGAAATGCAACAGGAAAATGGTTCATATATCAAAATGAAACATGATTGATATACATTTTTTAACTAGTGTCTGTCATGGTATATAGAATACGAGAAAGTGAATCCAAATTTTTACGTTCATATTTGGTAATTATTGAAATTTAATACAAACCTGGATTAGTATTGATTTCATTTTGAGATTTCGAACGTTGCATCCAAGTACGTATTATTATGGGTCTTGGATTATCGTTATGATGTATTTCTAGAAAAACAAATAATATTATTCATAATAATTTTCAACATTTAAGATTTGAGAAAATTTTCTAAGCTCTCGTAATATTACTTAATACATAATTCTATGATAAATCATTTATTCGAAAATTTAATTTTTACTTGATATAGATTGATTTCGAGTTTGCATTGATGAATATTCATCAGGAACAGACGTATTTGTTAGTTTTTCATTGCTATCACCAACAATATCTATAATACATTTACTTCAATAATTAAAACAATATTCATCAATACATACATGCATTTGTTAAATGAATACCACCATTCCCTGAATCAGCATGTTTAGATAAATTATGACTATTATTTTGATTTGATTCTTAAGAATAAAAATAGAACTCATCTTTTTTTTTTTTATGGTTTTTCGTAAAAGTAACTTACGAATATGTGATCGAACATGTAATGTTGACGATGTTGGTTTAAAATTTAGACTTGAACTTTCACTTGTTAATTTATTGGCATCACGTATTTTAGTTACATGCTGACGACGATGTTGAGTTAAGTCATTAACTGATGAAAGTCCTGTTGTTGTTAATGAATTATTTATTAATGGTGATGTATTTTGAAGAACAGATGAGTTTGAATTAGGATTTGGTTTTAATGGTGCTCGTGATTTTATTTGATGACTACTGTTTGATAGACGAAGTAATTTATTAACATCATCCGGTGATTGTGTACCTAGAAAAAAAAAATAAATTTATATAGATATATATTATCTTTTCCAAATAATAAACAACAATAACAAGCAAAATCAAATGATATTTAAATTGATACAAAAAAAAAATAGATTTCTAACCACATATAAATTTATGTTTACCTGAATAAAGTTCTAAACAGAATAAGAGAAATTTGAGAGAAGAATTTTTTTTTTGTTTTTTTTTTTTTTTTTGAATAAAAATTGATCGAATAGAAGAATGAAATGATTACATACCAAATTTAGTTAATTGTATAGCACCACGACGATCACACGAAGAATTTGACGATAAACTTGATGTTGAAGGTGATGGACGTCGTTTAAGTGTAGTTGCTATACAGAAAAAATAACGAATAATAAATAAAATTGTTTATTAGATAATTCAATAAATATATATGATTAAATAAAGAAATAGCAAAAGCGATAAATCAGTTGATGCTTAGTATTATATAGAATATTAGAAAATTTTCTATTTATTTATTTTTTTTTGGCTTTTAGCGAAATACCATGATGACGAAAAGGATTTTTCAAAAAACGAGATTTTGCTGGCGAAGAATTTATCCGTAACAATGAAAGTCTAGTACTTGTTGTATCATCACTTTCATTAGTCGTACTAGATTTGTTATCATTGTCTTGTTTGGTTGTTACAATATTATCAAAACCGAATAATGAAAGTTCAGTAAGTGTTAATACTGGTGTAGCTGGCGATAAATTTCCTGCTCGATCTAAAGAAATAAGTGTGTGTGTGTGTGTGTATGTATATTTTCATCAAAACACACATTCTTATCAAATTTAGTTCAATTTTGATGGTTACAAGCAGAAAAAATTTCAAACCAGAAAAGATTATGTTGTAAATCTCACAATTATTTTTTCCATTATTAAAAATCATGTTTATAAAGTTTTTATTTAAATTTATTTCCTACCAGGTTCACATTGATTAGCTAATCCAAGTAAACGATCTTCATCTTCAATTATTTCAGCATTATTTAAATATGTTTTAACTTTTTTAACCATTAATGCCTAAATAATAATAAGTATTTATAAATGAAATTTCTTTTTTTTTTTTTTCTATATTTAATTTTTACTTCATCATATATTCGTTTCGCATTAGCCATAACAGATAAACGTACACCAGATTGATTTCTTCGCATTGTTCCACATGTATCTGTGGTTGATTGATGACCAAAACCAGCAAAAATTTGTGAATGTGATGTTGGAGAATCAAACATATTTGAAATATTCTAAATAAAAATAAAACTATTACAAATAGAAAATCAATTGATATATGCTTTTACATATGATGATGATGACATATTCATTATATAACGAATTTCTTTTGCAATCATACGAAGTTTTTCAAAATTAATCTTAAATAATAAATAGATTAGAAAGTTTTTTTTAAAGAAATAAAATATCTTTTTTTTTCTATTACCAAACCATCATCTTGTGTTTGATTTCCCAAATGAATAAATGTTAAATCTTTCATACACACTGGAAACATCGGAATCTAGAAATGAATAAATAATATAGATGAATTTATGGTATTATGATTACTTTAATAACTTACAATAGGTGGTACAATTAATTCATTTTTTAATAAATTTCGATAAACAGACATATTTCGAGATAAATCAAGTAATGATTTAAGTTCCTAGACAAAGAACAAAAAACTTTTGTAAAATTCCATTTATTTTTCCATTGTAAGAAGTAAACCTAAAGATATAACTCATCTTCATGCAAAGAAAAATCTTATATAAAAACTTTTCTTAACAAACTTACCAATTTATCATGTTTCTCAGATATAATCTCGCTTACGATTTTGATTTTTTTTTTTAAGTGAAAGTATTATGAAATCTTCGGTTTATGCATCATGTATAATAGTCAACCATTGGGCAATGATCCGCGTACGTTTTGAACCAGTGGTAGTTACTCACTACTCGAAAATTTTATGGCTACGCCATGGATTACAGTAGTCACTCATGATCCCTTTTCGGAGTCTTTAAATTTGCTATTTAAACTTCATGATGGAGCCAACTTCAATCGAAAACTCTTATACTCTTCACTCTCTAACATGATTCTTCATTCTGACTTTTTTCTGATTCTCAAATATCTTTCAAGTTTCTCTCTATAGATTCAAGTAAAATTCTTTAAAGATACTTTATCAGTAGAAAAAAATTATAAGTATAATATCAATATAGATAGTATAATTTACTTCAAATATTTTTTTATATTTCTCTGATATACGTTCCCATGTAGCTTGTAAACGTTGTACAGCTTTATGATCAAGTCCACTTATAAGTGAAAACATTGAATTAAAATTTTTCATTTCTTTACAAGATTCTAAATTAAAGAAAATAATTCTATTTATTTTTCTCATATTTTAATAAATCTTTTTTTTTCTTACTTGCTATTTTAATAAAATGTTTAATTATTTTTGATCGTTGTATGATATTTGTTTCACGTATTATTTCTGTTATAGTCCAATACATTTCTTGATTAGGTAATCGAAGAAATTTTTCAAGATGTGGTATACCATAAGATGATTTTAATTTAAATATATGATCAATATATTCTGTTGGTTGAATTGATTTAAATATTGCAAAATCTCTTAATGTTAATTGTGCACAAATTTCAAGTGAATCTAATTGAAGAAAATGAATACGTGCTTCACGTATAAATTCATTTGTTAATTGATCTGGTACAAGTTGTTCAGTTAAATGATTATTTTTTAAATAATAACGAGCATTTATTGGAAGACGTTCAGGTAAATTATCAATATGATCTGGTAAACGTTTTTGTTTTATAACACCATTTTCAACTGATATTTCACATAATGAATAATACCTGAAAGAAATAAAATTAATTTTTTTGTTAGATTTGTTATTTTCTATATGTAGATAATAATAAATGATCAATGATTAAGAAATAAATAAGAAAATATTTATTATGTAGCAATTATATGAATTTTAATCATGTCATTAATTATATGTTGTAACATTAAAATAATGGTCTGTTGACTTGATATTATGTATCATAAAGGAATTTTAACTTTTAAAAATTTAGTGAATATAGAGAAATGAAATAAAGTATTATTTTTCAAGAGTTTGCTTTCAAAAAAAAAAGAACGCCTATGAAATTGATTCCACATCAGAAATATCATCTCGATGAGTTTTACAGCTTAAAACTACTGATAGTTTTATTCATCATGAAGTAATTATTCTGTCAGTTGAACACTAGGCAAAGCTTAATACAATATGGATACTACTGGTATTTATCATAATCATTTTATCAGACGAAAACAGTGAGATGAAATAAATGTATTTTTAATTTTAATTTTTAATTAGAGGAAAATTAGATACAGTTTCAGAATCTAAACAAGTTGTAGGAAGTTTATGAGAGAACTGCTTGAACTGTAACTCGCCGTTTGACCTTACAAAGAAGTCTCGATTAGACTAGAAAACGCTTGAAAGCGCTCAAGCTCATGATCCTCTAGAGAAATGACTTTTGTTTCAATTTTCTTTTCAGCTGAAACTTTCAGGATCTTCTAAGAGTCATCAGATCTATCTATGAGCGAAACTCCATTATTTAGTTTTCCTGTTCTTGTGATTCCGTCGTTAAATTTCAATATAAATCTTCGTTTAATCATACTCAACGCATAACCTACACAGTTAACTATCTATAGATTGATTAAGTACAATAGCTATAATTATACATATGTAAATCATGGTAGAAAACATTCTATTTGAATCAAGAAAAAGAAAAGCATGCGAGTAGTATAACCGGTGAAACCTCTAAAGCACGAATGCATAGATTTTAAATATTTAATTAATAAATTATTTATAAAATAATAAAGCACAAGAGCTCCCCATCCATTAAGACAAACGTCTTACCGCAATAGATCAATCTCTACAGGAGAATATGCATGGCTAGAAAAACGAGTGTAGCATGAAATAAAGAATAACAGCTAAACTTATTATACATAAGTTAAAGTATTAATTATACAAATTTTATTTTATTTTTTTTGTTTTTAAGCATCAAGAAAAAGTCAAGAGACATACCTGCTTTGATCAAGAATACCAAATTCAGTTATAGCTAACATAACAAGTTGCTTAGCTGTGGTATCCTTTTTTTTTAGCAAAAAGAGAAATATTTTATTTGATTAAATTTTATTATTTTTAGTTTTCTTACTTTAAGTACAGGAAAATATTTATATGATTGATCACTACGATAAACTTTAACAACAAATGTTGCATTGTCTTCATCATTAATTGTACCATTACATGTTGATATTGATGATGACATTGATTTATTACTAATTGATGATGGAGATAAATCTGGATTACTAGAACTTCGATTAAAACTTTTATTTGAATTTGATACTGATAGTGAACTTGAATCAAGAGCATTATCTGTTGTAGTTGTTTCAAAATCACTAAAATCATTAAATTTTATCGTTAATTTTTGTATTTTTTAAACAAATAAATAAAATTTATATGTATTCAATTAAAAGTTAAAGAGAAAAAAAAAGGGAAGCTATGAAAAATAGACTTGTTGATCTCATAAATATACATTTCTTGTCAATTTTTTAATTATATTTTCATCAGCATTAAATGTTACTTAAAAACCATAACGATTGAATATGATAGGAGTGACTGAGTGGAAAATAAAAAATGTCTTTATTAGAAAGATAACGGAAAAATTTGTTTTATTTTTCAATTGAGATTTTGATGCCAAGATAAGTGTTTGAAATATTATCTTATTACACTATTATATATTCTCTTTTGTTTTGTTTTTTAGTTTTGATAAAAAATGAGAAAATGAAGATATATAGTGCATTGTTTCGAGTTTTATATTACATATTTTCAATGCATAAAATAGAATATGAAACGTGTAGATATGAGCATTTTGAGAAGGCATTAAAACATCTTCGAACTAAAAAATACTCTCGATTTAGTTAAGATTATTAATTGATTTCTTTCAGTTTATTGAAAGATTCACATTATTTATAAAACAATACTCTTTTCTAGATAATATTGTAATTTTTATTAGATTATAAATAGTACTTTTAATCATGACAACCTATTTTATATTAGCCCTTTGCTAAGATAACGTTAGTATCCAGCAGTTCTTTTTCGCATTCCAACCACTGTTATAGTTCCCACTGTATGGTTCTAACACATGTTTCTCTTATTTCTTTTCTTCTACGATTCTCTAGCATGTGAAAGCAAGCACGCAAAAAAAAGGAAGAAAGAGGTCCGGAATAATAATAATTTCACGTAGTCTTATTTTGTTGACATATTTTTATATATAATTTTCAATCGACGTAATAGATTGTTTTTTTTGTATTTTATATGAATTTAGTGTTCCATGAAAAATTATAACTATTCAATATTTGTTAACCGTCGACATCGACGGAGATGAATTCAACAAAATTAAAATTAACACACACAAGTAGAAACGAAATATTAACAAAACAAATTCCAATAAATAGTACGTCCGATAATAGTGAAGATGAAAGTATTGAAAGTAATATAGTTAATAAAGATAAACGATCGTCAATATTATATTTATTTATTAAACGTTATATACAACAATTAAAACTTGTATTTCAATCAATAATACCTGATTTAAAAGATCTAAAATATTGGCAAATTATAATATTTACTCTTTTTGCTGCATTCAATGTTGTTTTTTCTATATTGGTAAATAGAAAAAAAAAATTATATTTGTTATTTATTTTAAAATATAATCATTGTTTTGTAATTTTTGTTCAAGGATTTTAATTCGTTTTTTCCTCATGAACGAACACGTTCGTTATTAAAATGGATGAATGATTTAAATGATGGTGTACCATTATGGCGTCGTATTTTATTATGTTTTTCTGGTATATCAGCATTTACAACTATTGTATACGTTGTACTTGTAATAAATGGTAGGATTTCTTCATTTTTTTGGGGTATAACTGGTGCAATTCTCTATGGTATTTATGCGTTTGCTTATGGTTATGTTGGTGATGCACAATTATTTGTTTTCTTTTTTTTACCGATGCAATTTGTTGGAATATATTTATGGTCAAAAGAATTAGATAATAAATCTACAACACGTGTTAAATCATTAAAATTTTGTGGTTGGATAGTTGTTGGTTTGTTAAGTATTTTTCTAGCATTTTTATTTTATTATGAAATTCCAATATTTTCAAAATATTTAACAAAGACGCCGTATTTGTTTGAAAGTAAATATATACCACATTTATTTGATGCAATTACAAATGGATTGAACGTTATTGGACAAATATTACTTATTGCTTGTTATTGGGAACAATATATTATATGGATATTTGTTAATTTAATGTCAATTATTATGTATAGTGGTAAAGTGAAAAAATATATATATATGATTGCTCAGAACATCTGGATAATTTCATAAATCATTTTGAAGATAAGTCTTATCTTATTGTGATAAGACAAAACTTTAAAAGATTTGTGTTCATGAGTCTATCAATAAAATATTGTGCTTCCACTTAGGTCACTTTCTAAAATCGATTTTTGAGTTCACAAGCGATTAAAAGGTTTTGACTACAGAAAAAGTAGTCTAGAGACACATCCTCTATTTGATCACGTACGTATTATCACGTTTTGTCGAGTACTATTGACATATAAATAGGTGGCGTTATCGTCGCCACAGTTAGGATAGAATAATACGAAGATGGCACCATTTATCGACATATGACCATTACTCGAAAGAACTTGATAATACACGTGTTCTTAGATAGAAGAAGTCTTTCGTTAAAACTCTACGTATATTTTATTCTGTAGTCAAAAATCATCGAATAATTTATAGTTATCTTTTGCATTTATAAAGTCTTCAACGGGCCTAGTTAATTATGAAAGTATTATATTATGGAGTAACTCTCATACTGACGTATTGATATTGAAAATTGTGTCATGTTTACAATAAAATCTTGTTCTCAGATTTATATTGTTTTAAATAGGAAATATTGGAAAGTTTAATATTCACCAAAAAGTAAGTCCGATTAAGATTTTTATTTCAAAAATAAACCTTAACGGAAGTACAGCAAGTTTTTGAAAAATTTACTACACGAACTATAACCCAAGCAGAATAATCCTTGAACACAGATTTAATTAAATTTTATCTAGTATCAATCAGATCTAAATAACAAGATAAGCTTTATCTTTAAAGTGATGTATCACTTGACGAAATTATTTCATTAGTTTTCTATTAGTACAAAAGAAGAGAAATTGCGAAGAAAGATTTTTTCTAATCATACATGTAAACAAAATAATAAGAATAAACGAAAATTATCTAGTAAACTTAATCCTCAGTATGAATTAATTTTTAATATATAATACTTAGACTTTTTTTTTGCAAGTTCAAAAAGAAAAGAATTTTTTTTTTCTCCATTTCTTTAGGTTGTCTTGGAACAACTCTCGATATTAATCAATTACTGGTATGGATTATGTTAACAGTTAGTTCATCATGTGGTTTATATACATGGTATCATCGTTGGAAAAATTCCAGACATATATCATCAATGTTAAATATAAAAGTTTAATTTACCTGTTATTTTTTGTAATTTTTAATTTTTGCATAACAGTTCGTTTCAAACCTATACGTTTAGTTAATGGACGTGGTTTAATTTTATCGGAATTTGTTTGATTATCTTTTGTTGGTGTTATTGCTATTAATGGTGTTTGTGATTGATGACGAGAATCTGTTGGACTATGGCTTAGATTAGGTGATGATGATGGTGTTAATAAACGAGAACGTATTGGTGATGAACCATTGAGTTTATTTCGAATTTCTTGTTCATATAAGGATATATCATGACGTTTTTTACGAGTAGGTGATTTTTCTGGATTATCAATTTCATGAAGGCCTAAAAATGTAATTTTATTTCTTTTTTTAATTTTCCTCTTAAAAATTTGATCAGGTTTTTTTTATTATTAAATTTCGTGAATGTTAATTAGTATTGTATATAAAAATAAATCATATTCTCAAAACAAGATGTTCTATCATAACTTGTAACATCTCAGTGTTTTTTTTTCAAGTTATTTCCTTACCCATAAGATTATTCTTTACTGTTAATGATAAATGAGTTGTATTACGAAGAATTTCCAATGCACGAGCATTTGTAAGATAATCAAAAGATTGTCCATTTACACTAAGAATCTATAAAAAAAAACAAAGAGAAGATTCAATGCAATATTGATCAAAATAAACTTGTCAGCGCAGAGTTCACATGTGTTCTTTAGCTTCACTAATTAAAAATTCGTAAAGTGAAAAGTATCTTGTAAACTATGGCTGTTTTCTAAGGATAATCGGGTATCCGAAATTTCACCAATAAGATATTCGTCAATGATAAAAGTCTGATTTATTGCTGTATTTTGAATAGAAAGTTTCCATGCATTAGTATGTATCTTGATTAGTTCAGAAACGTTGATATTGATTATTTCCGAAAGTTATAATTTATGATCAATCAATCCCTTACTGCCTATTATGAATATAAGGTTTTATCTGTGCCCAAATAGAAAACTGCTCTGTATGGAAGATTCTCTGTTCATCGCTGTGGGAAATAAGTAGGATACCGATTGTCCTCCACAATTATGAAAACGTACATAACGATCAATGTCTCAATCAGTTGTTAGAAATAAGCAATATAAACGGTTGAAAACAGAATTTATCTATTTAATCCTAGTATTCATTTTATCTGGAAAACTCTAAGTTTAATCGCTGGTAAGAAAATTACCAGAGAAAAATTTTCATATAATCCTCAAAACTTAATCCATCTCATTGAAACAATTTCTAATAGAATCTTCGAAACTTTTTTTTTTATTATCATTTGTTTATAAGTAATACATTTTGATATATATACATATATATACAAACAACATAGGTCCGATCGTGACAACAACTCTTTTTTTGACTTGGACAGGATAACATTCTTTTTTTTTTTGTTCGGGATTGGGATTACATTCTTATTTGATTCGGATCGGGACCACATTCTTTGTTGACCACAATCAAGAACGACTAGTCCTGCACATGCCTAGTTATACAATCATCTAATCAGTTTACTCTTTCGACAAACACATAAATGAATCCGATAAGAAACTATCAAAAGTAAAAAAGATCAAATTATTGTTTTCCTTTGAAACATCTTTCTATTAGAAAAATATCCATCAAATAATCTCTTAATTTAAATTACCTGATCACCTCGACGTAATCCAACTTCATAAGCTTTAGAATTTGGTTCAACTTTTGATACAAATATTCCATTATTTATAGATGTATCACTTCCTCCAAGTATTTTAAAATTTAATGGATCATCACGTGTTGATCGTGTTATAATTATTGTACGTATACTAGCTTTTGTAAAACAAGCTAAATTAAGTAAATGTCTCCATGATATCATATACTAAAGAGATTAAAAAGAGAACAAATATTTACATACAAGAAAACATTATATCTTACTTCATGGACATGATGTTGTAAGCAATCATGAAATTTTTCAAGAAATTCATATAATTTTGTATTCGATTCAAAATCATTATAATGATTATTAACCCATGATAAAACAATACGTGCTATATGTTCAGGTGATGTTGAATTATTAGTATTATGAAAATTTTCAAGTAATTTATTTGTTATTATGATTGGATCATTAATAAATGTTCGATAAGTAAGAAGAAAATCTTCAACAAAATTTGGATCATCAATTAATTGACGTTCATCAACAAGTAAATCAAGTAATTTTTCTGTTGTTGCCTAAAAAAAAATCAAATAACCAAGATTTAGATAAATTTTAAATTGTGTTTATTTTTTAGTTCATCATCAAGATTTTTTTCAATGAAATTTACCTGACTTTTATTCTTATTTAAAATAGAAAAGTTAGAAATCATATTGATAATTTTCTCTTGTAATTTTTTTTTTTGTTAATAAAATATTAAACTTATTTATACTGAATAACTGTTGAATTAAATATAGCTTAAATTAATATATGAAGTCGCTCATAATCTTGGAACACTTAGACAATGACATACGTCAAAGAATATCAACCATATTTGACGTAATTAAATTGATTAAATACTTATCTCAATGAAGTCATCATCCACAAAAATGTAGGCAGACACTTAATCTATAGAAGAATGTCTCAAGAAGGAAATGTTAAATTGCTGAATCTGTTTTTTTCAATAGATTAACAAATATCCTTTGAACTTTTTGAATAACTTCTATAATTTATAACAGACATCGATTGAAGCTTTCACTGTGAAATTTATTATAGACAAAATTTTTACTTCCTTCTTAAATGTTTCTATTCATACTAATAAAACTAATTATTCCAATATTACCTTAATAACAATTTCTCGTGGAATTCTTTGTTCTTCATCATCAACACGTATTTCTTTAATCATAACAAGTTTTCCATTTTCTTCAATTCGAATATTTTTTTCACCCTAAAACAGATAAATACTCATTCCTCCTACAATATTCTCATTTTAAAATATACTTGATTTAATATTGCATAATAATCATTTTGTGCCACAACAACAAATTCACAATTATCAACACGTGTTTTCATAATACCTTTATGATAATAATGATCTAATGTTGGACCACAACCAAAATTTTCACCAACAGTTAATGTACGTACTAATTGTCCATCAATTGTTTCATCATCAATAATACCATTTATAATAACTGACCATGAATCATAACGTTCATCATCACTCATAACAATGGTTTGAGCTTTTTCAACATGTGCATAAACAAGTACTTTACATAGTTCACGTCGTACATGTAGAGTAAAATCTGCAAATGCCTTTTGTAAATAATAAAAGAAAAGAAAAGAACTTAATATTAATTAATTTGTTTTTTGTTTTCTTACTGGAAAATGAAGAAGAAATTCAAGAATACTTTCAATATCATCATCTGTTCTTTCATTAGGTTCTTTCATTAAAGATTCTCGTATAAAATCATACATTGGAAATGACTAGTAAATAACAAACAAAATTATTTCGCCGAAAAAAATGAAAATAACAACATACTTCAGATGATGCATCAGATTCATCATCAGTTTCATTATTTACTAATAAACAATCATCACCATTTGTTGATGATTGCATAATATCTGAGCCTGAATAGGCACTTGATGTGTCACTAGCACGTGAATGTGAACTACGTATCATTGGTGAATGTATATCATTTGTATTACTAACTGTTACAGACCGCTATAAACCATAAAAACAAAACAAAAATAAAGATAATTTCTTATTATATATATATATAATATGATATTAATATATATAGCACCTGTCGAACACGTGAACTTTTTTTTCGATGAAGTGTCATCGTTGTTTGTTCTTCATCATCAAGCATAGCTGCTATTGCTTGTTCTTGTTCTTGATTATTTTCACTTTCGATTCGCATCAATGATTCTTTATTTTCTAATGGATAATCAATCTATTGAAATAAATAAGAAAAATTGATGATTTTTAAATTATAATGTTAAATATCGACTTACAATGAGTAACTCAGATTGTTCTAATATAACACATTCATTCATTCGATATTGATTAGTTGAAGTTCGTTTGCCAAAACTAAATATAAAACAAAGTAAATCTTTATATATTATATGAATACCAGCAATATCGTTTGATCTATTCAAGGTTAATAAGAAGATAGATAATGATGAGCAAGATAGATGAAGAAAGAAAGAAAAGTGTCAGTATAATAATGATATTTGTAGTATGCAATCGGTAAAGAAGAAAAAAAGATGAATACAAGGTTAAGAACAGAACATGAAAGATGAAGAAAAAAAAATATTGATTTAGCTAATTTATTTTTTGCTTCTGTCTCAAGGAGTACATAAAAAAATGTTAGACATGACGATTAAATAATACTACTAATTGACCTATTCATGCTTTTTTTATATTCATTCTTACCTAGCTCGTGGTAAATACAATGTAGACTCGATAAAAACAGAGCCAGATAGAAGTATATACCAACAGGTATTCAAATCGCCACGACTAAAATAAAATAGAAATAAAATATTAATGTATGCCAAACGTGAGTATCATCCCGTCATTATCCTCTTATCGTGTATGTTTACATACACTTTTTTTGTCGCCTTTTACTCTTCTTAATGTCCATACGAGAGTATATGCTCGTGTTCACTACAATAAACAATGACACTTCTCGTTTCGTATAAATACAAAAAGAAATCGAATACAAAACTAAAGCTAAGTGTGAAGTCATCAACATAGAACATAACTAAAACATACTCAAAAAAAAACATTCAAAGTTTAGTATATCACTCTCATTCATTATTCAAGAATTCCATCTTAGATATCTATGATGTAATAGCTCAAATGAATGATGAAGTATGTGATGGAACATTTATCATCAAAGATTGATTGATAATTCACTATGATCGTATACCACCAAAGAATACTAGCAAAGCAAATAGACAATCATGATGATGAATATGTATGTCTATATTGTCACTATCTCGTAGACATAACAAACTTAAAAGAATGTCCTCATTCAATATATGTAAAAGGATAAACAGAAAATAAATATAAATATAAGTTGAAAAAAAGAATGAACCAACCTGAATAAAACATGATCAGCATCATATATTTTATAGCGAATTGTTTTACACAAATTGCGTATATGTGATTCACGTAGTGTTGATAATGCTTCCAAATGTTTTAAATAAGCATTAATTATAGTTAAATCCTATAAGAGACAAGACAAAAAAAAAAAAAAACATCTATTTCCTGTTTGACACATCACAAAAAGAAAACGGAAAAGAAATTCTAATGAAAATGACTTTCTCTTTTCTTTCTTTAGAATAATTTTTTTTTTTTAAATTGAACTCACGAATCCGGACAATAGGGATGACTGACCTCTAAAAGAAAGAGGAAAAAGTGTAGTAGAAAAAGAAAAAAAAGAAGAAAGAGAAATCTGTACGTTTACACGTAGTCGTATGGACAACGGATGAAAGAATATGTGTACATACATACTCATGCGGGCAACTTCATTTTATCCTTACTTCTCTTTTCTTTCTTTCTACTCTCTCTCTCTCTCTGTCTCTTCAATACGTACGTATGTGTGTCCCAACTTTGATGACTAACCATGTAGTTCTGTATATTGAATGAAAGTTGGCAATCATCATTGATGGGTGGTTATGTCAATCATACAAAAAGAAAGCCTAAAAACAGCATGTTCTTACGTATCTTCCGTGATGAATCAACAGTTGTTGATTCTCGTTTTTTTTTTTTTAAATATTCGATTACGATGATGGCGAATAAGATAAATAATTGTATTTAAGATCATAATCAATGATATGATTACGTCAGAAATCTTCACACATGAAAGATATCATTGAAACTTTCTAATCAGATCTAACAGCTTGCAGCTTAACATAACAATATATAGAGATTAATCATTATACATAGGAAAAGAAAATATGATAATTTGCCATAAAAGTTTTATCAAAATGTTTAAAAAGTATTTCTTGAGAATAGAGCTCGTCAGATTGATCGTGAACTCAATAGTCAATGAATGTATATAAATAATGATTTGAATTTGTTGTTTTTTTTTCAGCAATATATTCACATTTGAAGAATACGGAAGTGCACTCATTTTCTTGAAATATTTACATTACAATTGTTTGTTTACCCTCGAGTGCCGACTTTTATCTTATAAGAGAATAGAATTTCAATATCCTGAGTTTCATTAAAAAAGAAAAAACATTAAACAAGAATGATTGATAACATTATTATTATTTTCACGTTTTTTCTTGTTAAAATCAGTCATCGATAAGATACACTTAACGAAGGACAACTATTAGAAAGATTATTCAAAATGAAATTTATTGGAAGTATTATCTTGATTTAAAAAAAAAACAACTTGATACTGATCTTCTTACTCAGCTCTCTTATGAATATTTGCTTACAATTTCAAAAGTATTAGTTAAATAATCGGGAGTAGTCAACTGAATCGAAAAACTGTTTAATAAGAACTTCAATTTCGAAACTATTTCCAATTATAATATAAAATACATTTTTTATTTAAAAAGAAAACCTACGATGACTAAAACATTAAAATAAAGGTTTTCTTTGAATTACATATTCATTTTTTTTTTCTTTTCTTCATGACTACACATTTTTATAAATATTTTTTTATTTTCTCTTATCAAATAAATAATCAAACCTGAGCTGTTCGATTTGATGGAATTTTTGCAACACTTTGACGAAATGGTAATTCAATGCCAGAAGCCGAGAGTGACATGTTTTTCGAATATATAATTTACAATATATACAATATACATTTGAATGTCATAGAGTTTACTTTGTTCATTCAACAAATATTCACAAAATACTATATCTAAAAAGAAAAAAAAAAAGTCAATACATAGTTTTCAGTATTAAAAAACCTAATTAGTTTGTTCAATGTTCAGTTCTGAACGAAAACATTCCATTACAATTGATATGATACAATGAACTTTTCAAATCTCAATAAGAATTTTGTAAATTTATACTAAATATTTAATCTTGCTGTATCAATCTCAAATAAAGAATTTACTAAAATTAATCTCAAGTATTTCCTAATCTAATAAATAGATAAAATAGATCTATTTTCTTATTCCTTCTCAGTATTTTCTCTTAACTTATATATAGACTGTTGATAAGCAGGACCAATCAGTTTTGGTTTTAGTATTGCACTTAGTGATACATGTACTAGGGAAAAAGACGATATCATTTCCCAGTAATGTCAAAGTGTTCGTGACATCCTGTACAACCTGCATGACCTCTAATATTCTTCTTCTTGAATATTCATTACTTTTTTTTTTTTCATATTCAATAATACTTGATCTATGCTGCACACTTATGTGTTCAACAGGTTTGTTGTTTACAACAACAAAAAAAAACAAAACTAATTTTACTATCAAAATATTAGAAAAAAATTGCTATTGAATAATTTTTGCATAATCTTTTACAACACATCAGTCATGTGAAAATGAGATTTGACGAAAGTTTTACATAACCATAAAAGATATCAATACCAATGAAAAACTATTGGCCCTGATCTAAGTTAAAAAAAAAAGAATTAGCTCTGGTCCCGATTGGATTTCGACCATGTTAAAAAGAATTTATTTTGGTCCTGATCAGAAAAAAATTTTGTTCTTAATTCCAGTCCCACTTCGGATGGGATCGGAACCATCGTGTCCATACCTAATATAAATAAAACCTCTTAATAAAATATTGTTTTTTTTTCATTTAAAAACAAAACAAATTCCAATTTATTATAGCTAATAAGAAGCATACATGCGTCTATTTTTTTTTTTCTTTCTTTTAAATACAATAAAAAGGAAAACGAAATGTATAAATATTTTAACCTTATTAAGATGGTTGATATGGAAAATTACCAAGGGTTAATACAAGTGGTATATTAGACGGAGGTGAGGGTTGAGAGGTATTAGATAATGGGGCAAGTACAATATTCATTCCATTAGTTTTTAAAGAATTTAAATCAATTGTAAAGGAATTTGAACCATTTATAGATTGTTGTTGAGAATCTGCATTGACTAAACATGATAAAGGAACAGCTATTGTTGGTGGATAAATTGTTGTCGGAAGAGGTACATTTGAAGTTGAAACATTGACTTGTTCAATTTCATCAGTTGGTTTTAATTTAGGACGTTTAGTAGGACGAATTTCAATTGGTGTATCATCTATTATTTGTTTTTATTTAATTAAAATAAATAAAAATGATTAACAAAAAAAAAAGAAAATGTTTTTTTTTTTTTGTTGACTTACTATCTGTAGATAAATTTGTGCGTTTTTTTTGTTGATTTTCATCAATAAATATAACATCATTATTATTTAATGTAGTTGTTGATGGTGGTGGTTCAATAACGGGTTCATCTTTTGCAAGACATGTTTGAATAAGTGCTTTACCAGCTTCACTTGTTATCATTGGTTGTAATTTAGGAGTTGCATACGTATAAACATGACCTAGTTATTTTAAAAAAGATTTTGATTTTTTTTTTTTTTTTTTAATAATAATATTAATTTATTTTCTTACCAGTTTCAGAAGCAACAAGAAGCATAACTTCAGTACCTGTTAATGTTGCTAATTCATAGGCTTTTTTCATGATACCTGTTTTACGTTTTGAAAATGTTGTATATCGTCGAATTTTATTATCAATATAAGCCATTTTTATTTTTACACGACCTAAGGTTTTTTTATTTATTTTCTTATTTGGTGAATTATCAATAGATTCATTAGAACGATCATCATCATCTTCATCAATAAATTCTTCATTATCATCATCAGAAGGAATTGAATTAAAAGATGTATGATGCATAGAACTGTTCGTTGTTTGAAGATATGATGAAGAAGACATCACTGTTTTTTTTTTTGTCTTTTTCTATATACGTATGATTTAGTAAGAAAAAGAAAATCTGTTGATTATAGTAGTCGAGTTTTTTGGCATAATGAGTCATACAAATACAAAGAAAGAAAGTGGGTGGTCAGTCATGGATTGGTTAGAAAACATCAGAATAAGTCAAAATTTTCTGTTTAGTAATGACATCTATTCAATATCAAGTATAATTATACATAGATTATATATATATATTGTGAATCTAGAAATTTCGAATTTGTCGATAATCTAAGTTTTAATATTTAATGTTTGCTTTACACTCTAAGAAATAGTACGTATATGAAAACAATATTATTTGAAAATTCAATTTTAATGAATTAAACGATTACAGATATTTTGTTATTTCACATAAAAACAAATAGAAATGGATATAATAAATCGTAAAAATGAAATTATTTTATTTCATCTTCATAAAGAATTTCAATAATTATTTTTTCTAATATACCAAATTTCGATATGAAATAGTATAGCTAAAGAGTGGCGATAGGCAAGTCAATTATTTTACTTTTTATACAAGCCAATAGTCAAATCATTGAGTTGAGTGTCTTTTAAGTTTCGTAATTTAACTATGTATTAATTTATTGAAAAAAAATGCTTAGATTAATATCTGAATACAATTTAACATGGATGTTAATGTAGGATGTGAATCTTCTCTGCACCCATGCTAGAGATGTTCCTGGTAGTTCTGGAAATATTTTGACAAATACTATCGCGACAACTTCTTTTTTATGAAGATTGTAAAATTGTATTAATTGACATTTGATTTGAGTGTCTACAAGTTTAACAGTCAGAATTGTGGAAAAGTATTGCAACAGTGAGCTGTTCTACGAGAATGGATTTGGAATCCATTTTATTAAAATTTTTTTCAGTTAGTACGAATTTTTAAAAGTTTTGTTTTTCAGTAAGATTGATTTTCTATGAATTCAAGGATTGAATTTAACAGAACTTTGATATTGTTATACTAGAGCTATAAAATCAGAGCTTTTAGAAAACTCTATTGAAAGAAGATCAACACCTTCATTTTTAGCAATTTTTAGGATCGACCAATTTGTACATATTGTTGAATCTCCGATATAGTGCAGTAGTATCAAAGTTAGGTTGTTCTGAACCATTTTTTTTATGTAGAATTTCGGAAAAAAGTTTTCAAATCTTTTGCAGAATAGTCTTTGTGAAACCACTTATAACATTTTGTGACATATGTGTCTTTGTATTGGAGTTCTTAAATGCAGTTTCCTAAAGTTTATAACCTTCTGTCAAGAATTCGTTGGTATCTTGAGTTTGCCGTGCTTTCGCATTCTCATCATAAAAACTGTAGCCTCAAAGACCAGTATGTCGTTTCTCAACCGATACAGTTTGAGAACTTTGACTTCAACTTTCAATTACTCTATTATATTTCGATCATTATAATAAAACTATGTTGTGTGTCAGTAGCAATAGATTCCTCGAAATCTTTGCAATAAATGATGCATCAATTGAATGCAAAAATATTTTTAGTTATAACTCACTTGATAATATACTCATCGAACACCAAATTTTGTAGGACTTAAAATAGACAAGAATAATTGAAATAAAAGCTGACGAAATAATACTCCGAGTGTCATTTCACTTATTCATATAGTCAATGAGTATTATCTTTGATTATTGTAGAAACAATGTTGAAAGTTTCTCTAATCACAGCAAATGAAGGATGATCTGCATGAGTCTGCTCGTACTCATAGTGAATAGGCACGGCTTGACAAGGATTCAAATTTATGAGGAAAATGTTGTATCACTAGCCTGCACGAAATGTAAAAATGAAACGACATGCAAAACTTTCAGAGCCAGAATTTTTTTTTGCATAATGCTAAATATTGTTGAGTATTGTAGCAAACTAGTTTACTTTAAATTATGGCTTGTAGAAGAGTCAGAGACAAGCATTGTATATCATAAGAGCATAGAAGACCTAGCAAAAACTACTCATTATAGATGAATTCAAAACTCTTAATAATATGGTTTGTTTACATTGTTTTTTATATAGATCTTTTCAAATCGAAACTCAACAAAAACATTTCTTTACTTTAATTGCATCATTTATCATATTAAACTTCTGTAAACTTTAAGATTCAAAGAATTTGATTGATGATTATTTAAACCAATTGTATTCTACTTCATCTGTCAGCAATTGTGAATCATCATATCAGCCATGTCATCAGCAACTAAGTGCCGTAAGTTTTTTCATTTATATTAAATGTAAAACAATGGTATTAAAATTACGCGAACAATTGATTAAACAAGTTGCCATCTATCTTCCATATCTTCCATCTGAATCATGCAAATGTCTTACAGCCAAACAACGTGAACGTATACTTCGATGGCTAGCTTCACATGATTATCTTTCAAATAATATTGTTCCATATATAACCAAAAGTCTTCTTTCACTTCCATTATATTCTCTTGAATTTTATAAATGTTATCAATTAACTAATGATATGCTTATTGAATTTGCTAAAGCAAGTCATTTTAGTCGATTAAAATCACTTATTATTCATCAATGCCATCAAGTAGACGGTAGATTTAAATAATAAATTGTTTATTTCTTTCTTAAAATATAGATATATGTATAAATATATAGATTCAGGAGTACGTGCTATAACAAAAGGACAATTATCACTTGAGTTTATAGCATTAAGAAAATTAAATAATCTAACAAATGCAGGTCTTGATGGTATACATTCAGCATTTTTAAAAGAAATTGATTTTCGATGGAATGAAAAAATTCAAGATCAAGGTATTTTAACCATTGTTTCGAATAACCTTAATTTACGTTCTATTCATCTTATTAATTGTCATTCATTAACTGGTCAATGTGTTATGCACATTGCACAAAATTTAGCTGAAAAACTGGTTAGTTGTTTATTTTCTTCAATGTTTATCAAGATTTTATTATAATTTGTTCATTATATTCATAGGAAATATTAGATATTGAAGGTTTAAAATATTTGGATGCTGAAGTATTTGTACATTTAGTTGATTATTGTCCTAATATTCGAAGGTTAGAATAATTTAAGAATACAATGAAAAATATATATAAAAATAAATTTTCATCTTCTTGTTTTTTTAGTTTAAATTTATTCGGTATAATCAATTTAGATGCCGATGGATTATTTACAGTAAATAATTTTATTTGAAAAATATTTCTTATCGTATTCTTTTTTTTTCTCTAAAGTTATTTGTACGATCAACACATATGTTACAATTAAATTTATCTTATACAACTTGTTTTCTACAAGAACCTGTTGCTGATTATCTTTGTTGTATGCCATTATCTCTTGTTGATTTATGTTTATCGGGTACACAAATTTATAATGCTCAAATTTTAATACGTGCTCTAACAAGACTTACACATTTGGAACATCTTCGAATCAATGGTCTTGCAACTATCAACGATCAAGTACTTGAAAAAGTTTGTCTATTAAATTTTACATATGTCAAAAAACAACAACAAATTTTGTTTTTCTCATTCGACATTTTAGATACTTAATGTTATTGGATATCGACTTAAAACACTTGAAATGAATGGTTATATAACTGTTGGATCATTAACTGATCGTAGTATTGAACATATTGTTCGTTATTGTCCATTATTAGAACAACTTTCACTAAATTTATTTAGTTTTACATCAACACTTGATTCTTTATTAGAATTATTTAGTACACCTAAACGTGCTTTACAACTTCAAAGTATTTCATTAAGTTCATTTCGAAATGTAAAATTAATTTTGTAATTAAATATTTTTCTTGTATAATTTTATTTTCTAATTTAGATTAATGAACGAGTTTTATGGTGTTTAGTAGAAAATTGTTTAAATTTAAAAGAATTAGAACTTTCAGGTATACCTTGTGTTAATGATGCACTTATTTCATCATTAAAACATTGTAAAAAATTATCACATTTAAATATAAAAGGATGTAAACAAGTAAGAAACAAAAAAAAAAATTCTTTTCTTGTTTCGAAATTAATCTTCTAAACAAAAATTTTTCAAATATTTAGGTTACTGATTCATCTATCTGTGATCTTCTTGGTGTATGTAAATTTATTTCACTTGTTCTTTCGGGTTGTTTTCATTTAACTGATCAATCAATTTTTGCTATGGCTCATACACAACCATTTCTTGAAGAAATTTATATATCTGGTTGTATACGTATATCACCCGTAGCTGTACGTTTTCTTCAAGATAATACCATTCGACGTTTATATATTGATCATAAAATACCTAATGCATTACCAGATTCTCTTATGGCACGAAATCTTGACACAGGCTTGTTTGAACAAGTTAGATAAAGATGACAAAGTATTTTTTTTTTTTGTAATTTTTTTTTGCATTTTTATATGTTTTATTCATCTATTTACTATACCGAGTGAACTTGTTTCAATTCATATGTGATCTGTTGTTCTTTATAAAGATATATATGTTTTCATGGGTATATGTATTTTGTTGTCTAGAAATCTTACTTATATTAATTGATTTTTTATTACAAACAATTAATGGTGAGTGGGACAAATTATTTCTAGTCCTGATCAAAAAAAATTTTGATTCTGCTTTTGCATTTTTTAATACATGTATTATTGAAAAATTCCATATCATTTTCCAGCAACGTTAATGTATTTGAGACATGTGGCATGCTCTTGCCTATCTTCTCTCTTTTGGAGATTCATTATTTTTTTCTACTCACTAATACTTCATCTATTTCACACCGTTATATGTTCGACAACTCTATTGTTTAAGAAAAAAAAAAAAAGAATTGATTTTACTATCAAAGTATTGAAATGATCTTTACTTAATAATTTTCGCATAAACTTTTAGAACACATAATTCTTAAGAGTATAACATTTGACGGATGTTTTACATTAACATAAAAGGTATCATTTCCAAGGAAATAGTGTTGATCTTGATCTCAATTATGCCTGGATCGAGATCATCTTGCTTATATCTACAAACAATTCTTTATGCAATTCTTTTTATGTTTTTAACAGGAAAAAGAGAAGTTAAAATGTTGGAAATGTTTGATAAATATTTTATGACTCTATTTTCAGAGAGATATTTTTTTTTTGAAAATTATGTTCATAGGAGTTCATATGTATTTATAGTATTCACTCATTATTTATTTGTTTTGTGAATAAAAAACAATAGTTCCAGTCATTTTCTTTCTGTTTTCATTTAGTTTTATGCTAGTTCGCAGAGTTCGATAAGTTGATCACGATTGCATAATGCGGTCTTTCCCATGAACTGTCGATGAGAAGTTTGGTTGATCTCAACTATTATAATTAGAAGAATTTTGAAAACAAAAATAGTAGAATTCCGTACATCGGCACTATTAATGGTCTTGAAATATTTAAAGTAGAGACATACTTAGAACTTTTATTTATGTTGATTGTGTGGATGTATGTAGTCAATTAAAGCATATTGAGTATAGAAACTTTACATGCTGATCAGGAAAGCTCTTCAAGTGTCAAATCGCTTTTCGACTAAGACGATGTCTATCTGATAAGTATTAGAAGAGTATAAAATGGTTTGTTTTTCGAGCTTTCCTTGTTGAGATATCAAAAGATTAGAAAACTAAATCATATTAGACTTTTCTATTATATGAATGTCGCTTCGATCGAAAAACGATTTGACACCTAGAGAGATTACTTCGTGAGAATTGAACTAACATGAAGATTCAAAGTTCTGAAATAAGAGCTTTTAGTAATTCTTTTGACGTTGAGTTCAACTCATCGAATTCTACAAGCTGACATAAACATCAATATTTTTGTATGAACTTTGAAAGATTATAAAAGCTTATATTATGGCAATAGCATGAAAGTTGTATTATAAAGTATGTTGATTTTGTTCAAATCAACTAGAATATGAATATTTAGTTTCACCAAATATTGAAGTACTTTGTTAAACGATCTATTTTGATAGTTTCTTTTTAAAGTTACGCTTTCCTAGTATTCAATTCATTACCTCGATATAAAAAAGAACCTCCTATCAATCAATTTGTGCCATAAAAATGCAGAACAGAAAGAAAAAAACGTACTTTTTTGTCTTTATTTACAATTAAACTTATTGTTTTTCTGTGCCAAATTCAAGTACGCAATGGATATTGTTTTGAATATTTATGATCATTGGCTTTTAACACCGTATGTATATCCTAAAAATGGTTGGCCTGAAAATGATCCTATTCGACAATTAATTTCTTTAACTGTATTAGTTAATATTCATGGAGTACTCTTATATTTTTTATTAACCAGTTTTAGTTATTTTTTTTTTATTCGATAAACGACTAATGAATCATTCATTATTTCTTAAAGTAATAAACATTGATCATAGATACCATCATATTAATTATTATTTTATATCTTTTTTTTTTAAATTATTAGAATCAAATTCAAAAAGAAATTAAAGTTACACTTCAAAATATTCCATTTATGAGCCTACCAACAATTATTATATTTATGTTTGAAATTCGTGGTTATTCCAAATTATACGACAGTACACAGCGTTCTTATAGTAAATATTAAATTAATAAATTATATATATATATATTTTTTTTTAAATTCATTTTTTAGATCTAATTCAATTTTTAAAAGAATTTATAACTTTTCTTTTTTTTACCGATATGTTAATTTATTTTATACATCGTGCTTTACATCATCGGTTTTTATATAAACATTTCCATAAATTACATCATCGATGGATTATACCAACACCATTTGCAAGTCATGCATTTCAATGGTTGGATGGCTTTCTTCAAAGTTTACCATATCATTTATATGTTTTTTTATTTCCATTACATAAGTTATCTTATTTAGGATTTTTTATATTTGTTAACTTTTGAACAGTTAGTATTCATGATGGAAATTATTCAGTACCAAAATATCTTCAATCGATTATAAATGGTGCTGCACATCATAATGATCATCATCAATATTATGATTGTAATTATGGACAATTTATTACTTTATGGGATCGTTTAATGAATACGTTTCATTCACCAAGTGTTTATTCTGAAAGAAAAAAAAGAAAAATATTGACTGACTAAGATTTTTTATTTCGTTTGGTTTTTTCTGATTTCTTATTGATTCAAAAAGTGAATAAAGACAGGCACAAGTTGATTGAATAAGTTGATATACTTGTCATGATTCGTTCATTGCTCTCATTGCCATCGATGCTGAAGGTTTTTGTCGAGTTAAATGCAAGAAAAAAAAAACTAATAAAAGCCTTGATGTAAATGCGTGCGGGTGTGAAATGACGCGTGTCGTGAATGAATACAGACAAGAAAAAATACGTCAGAGAAAAAAAAGTGTCGTTCAGTGTTAGTGTATACTATTATTGGATAAGAGATAATGTTATCATCACCCTCATATCCAGCCAATGGTGGTGATTCAACAATGCCTGGCAGTTATGAACCATTCACAGGATTAGCACCTGGCAATGCACCATTTTCAAGGTCACCTTCAGCACCTCGACCTATAATTCCAAGTGGAAGAACACCATTTCCACAACTCTCTCCTGCTTCATCACCCGGGAGAACACCATTTCCACAACTTTCTCCTGCTTCATCACCCGTGAGAACACCATTTCCACCACATTCTCCGGCTTCACCACCTGGAAGAACACCATTTCCACCACTTTCTCCAGTTTCACCACATAGAAGAACACCATTTCCTAGGATACCTCCCTATGGTAGTCCACCAATGAGAGGGCGACCGATTATACCGAGACGTCAACGATCAAGACATCGTCAACGTAGACGAAGATCACTCACACCAAAGATTGTTTTAGAACGACCAGGTCGTCGTTCATCATGTGGACGACGTCGTGTCATTAGAGTTTCACTTGATCCTTGTCCGACTCTTGGCTTACGTGGACCACCGAAACGTATGCTAGAAATCGAACGTGTTCGATGTCGTCGACGTCGACGATGTCGACCTGTATGCTGTGAATATAATTATGGAGGACTAGTACCATCACCACCGCTACCACAACCAGCTACAATAATTGCCAATGCTATTCCAAATCCATGCATACAACCAGTTCAATCACCATTGATTATACCATGTAATAATCTTGCTGCTACAGCTTCATCGTCGTATCTTTCAAATCTAACTCCACAAATGATTGAAAATTTACCAAAACAAACTGTTCATTTACCACCTATACATCTACCTGGTAGTTGTGCTAATGCTGATACAGAACTTGAAACTGTTGTATTCCCTGCTGAAATAATCGATCCATTAAATGGAACTTTATCAATTATTCAAAATAATCCTGGAGTGAATACTGTTGGAACTTCAAATATTCAACCTATTCTTGCTGCTCCTGTTCAATCTCAAGTGATTAGTAGACCTACAATAGTTAGTACACCTATTGTACCTAGAGGACTACCAATATTGCCTACAACGACATCAGATCCATTAATGCAAAAATTTCAACAAGTATTTCAACGTCTTCGTTTTCCAAGTACACGGCAAATATCACAAGTACCGAGTCCTCCTATAATTCGAACTGCATTACCGAATATTTCACCAATTACTCCAATCAACAATATTATAAATGGTCCACCGACTGTCTCATTAATCAATACATCAAATGGTGGACCTTATCCTTCAGCTAATATTCAACCTGTTAATCCATTAAATATTGCATCTTATCGTCCAGCTAGTACTGGTCCAATTGTTCCATCAAATGTTACTCCATATCGTTCAGCAAATATTACACCATATCGTCCATCAACTTTTACACCATATCGTCCATCTACTTTTACACCATCTGCTCTAGCAAATAATCCAACATATCGTCCTACAAGTATTCCACCTTCTAGTTCGTTAGAGACCGGTCCGTACCGTCCTGCAAATATTACACCTTATGTTAATACAGCTGATCGATCTAGTAATAATCCACTATCACAATCAGTTTTATCTTCTGCACCTATTCGTTACACTTCAACTGCACCAATAGCATCTTCAAAACCTCTTAGTACTTTTGATCCTTTCGAGTCTTCTTCTCCTTCTGGAGTTGGTCACAACTATATAAATTTAGAATCATCGTCATCGACTACTTATCAATTAAATAATTCCATGCCAAAATCGATTCTTCGTAATGGATTATCGTCTAATACTACTTATACTCCTTTAATATCATCTAATGTTTCATCTTCTAATGATGAAGTGAATAAGACGGCAAAATTTATTTAAACTTTTGTTTGTTGAAAAAAATCACCGTAAAGTTCTTTTTTTAAATATAGACATTCAATGTTTTGATATAATGCAGAAGCAATTACCATTTTTTTGTTCTTCTTTCAGTTTTCTTTTTTATTTGAATAAAGAACGGCATAGCCATCTCGAAAACGTACAAATGCCTTTACCACCCAAGGTATCGAAAGAAAAATTGCTTTGAATGATTTATGATTGTTCTGTTGTTGTTGCCACTTGTTCTGGTTACGTTGAAGCATGTGAATAATAAAGAAAAATATAAAGAAAACAAAAGAAAAAACAACGTTCGCATACAGCAATAAGTTGATGATTTTTGTCTGAATACACGTATCAATTCAAATCAATTGGTAAGATATTAATATATAATTACATGGCTGTTAGAAGCAGTTTATCACCTACATTCAGAACTAAAACAATTCGTTCAGATGGAAATAGTCTAAAAAATTCGACGAACTATAAATCTCGTGTACAAAGTGCTCCACCACTTTCACTTCAACAATATGCACGTTCATCTGCTATTCCTCTTGGTACTAAACCATGGCAGCCATCAGGTGTTTATCATCCACCGGTTCTTCATGCATATTTATCATCTGAAGTATGGAAGCAACCAGAAAGAGCTGAACTACGAAAGAAACTAGAAACAACTCAAATGAAGCCATGGATTTATACCTATAAACGAAAAAATTCTATACCAACTTATACACCGAACGAGTATCAAGTAAAAAAACCTAAACCACCTGAACCTGTATGGCATCCTCCAGGTAAGTACGTAGAACAACAACCAACATCACTCAGTCCAGAACGACGAGTGGAAAAACATATTCATGAACCTGCTTGGCGACCACCTGGAAGAACACAATATAAACCTGTGCCGTATTTTGATTCACCTAGTTTAAGATGGTCACTTCAAGATCTTAAGAAATCTATGGCTCATCTACAAACAACAACTCTTCGTACATCTAGAAGTGCATCAGTAGCGAATAACTAATATATGAAAGATTCTTCATTGAATAATTTCTATAAATTAACGCTAATGAATTCGAGTTTGTTGGAAGTTTTTTTTTTTTGTAGATTTCTACATTTAATAAAGATATTCACGCTTGCAAATTTTACTTACAAGGAAACTATTTGAACTGTAACTTTCTATTTGAGAAGATAAAAAAACTCTCACTAAGCTTAGAAAAAAATTAGAAGGACTCGTGCCCATGAACATCTGGAACCTAGTTTTGACCATTTTTTGGCATTTAATGGACAATTAAAGGACAGAATTTCGACCTTTACTTTTGTCTATAGATAGATCCAATCATCTGTACAATATTCTAAAGGTTTCAACCGAAAAGAATATTCCGTTGTTGAGATATTGAATTTTCAAGTACACTTGACTTTTGTGACAATCGACTATTTGTAAGAAATTCAGTAACTCGATAAAGGAAGCATTTTTTTAGAGCTGAAACTTTCAGGATATTTTAACGAATCTTAGATCTTAGCTATGGGCTGAATTTCAGGTTGAAAATTCAGTAAAATAATCAAAGCTTGGCTACAGAGGCCCATGGATAAGAGCCCTTCTAGGATTTCTCTAATCTTACCGAAACCAACGGGTACGTTCAATATGATTCAAATCCTAGATTACAACTGCAGTGCTTCCCTGGTTAATACAAAAAATGGTTAATAGTTAAAACTTAAAAATAATAAACAAATCTGATGAGAAGTGATAAGATATTTCATTCAAAACACTAACCTCAATAGAATACAGGAGTTAATTGATGAAAATCTGCATAGATATTCGATTCACGGAAATACATGAATAAAAAATGCCTTCATGCCTTACTGCTCACAAGATTTCTCGGGAACAAGCTGTAGAGCTCGAATTGCATTCATTAGAAAACGAACTTCTTATCAGTTGGAACGAGGAACAGGGTTTTTTTAATTTTTACTTTGTAGTATTTTTCGAATTATTCACACATCACAAGTCTGGAAAATTCAGTATATGTCTATAGCATTGACGACTATAATGAGATAATTACTTTCCCTTATCTCTAGGATTATATATATATACATCTGTCGATAAAAAAAATTGGTCTGCCGTTTGATCATCCGTCAAGAAAAGTCAATATTGAAAAGAAAACACGCAAGTTTTTATTTTATATAATGTCTTTGTGATTACTTAAAATGCAGGTGAAGTATAAATATATTACTAGCCAATAGAAGCACTTATCCATATACGCTAATGAAAAACAAACGACGACAAACAAATAAAGAAAAAAAAAAGGTGATGATGGAAGTAGTGACGATTATAGTAGCAGCGATGAAGCTTTATATGGTGTTATTTCAAGTGATGAAGATTCTTTTTACATTAGACGATGATGGTTAACTTTTAAAATAGTGTAGGTCTTCTTTTTAAAATAAATATTCAAATGAAATGGAAGAACACTTTATATTCTGATCGTCTATACAGTACAGTTAATATTACTTCAACTGGTTTTTTCGAAAAAATGGGTAATACAGAACTTGTAACAATTTCATATAAATGAATGGGCTGTAAAAAATATTTTGCTACAAATCTCAGAAACCTTTGAGAATCAAAACTATTTTTATAAACTCTTCGTATTTTTAACGGTATTATTAAGTTGTTCAAATTATTTCTTGATTGTATTGGAAACGGTGCATAAGACACCTATAGAATCGACTCGAAAAAAATAAATAAAAAATCCTTGATTTTTTTTCTTCTCTAATTTTTGAGGGCACTAGAACGATTTGATTTTTATATGCAGTCACTTTACAAATATCAAATTAAATATTTGATGGATAAAACCATATTAAGCCATTTTTTCACCGTCTACAGCGAGATACAATACGAAAATCAGTCGTATTTGGCCTTGATTCTGTTCGCTGTATACAACACACTATTTGAGCCGTATATATGCCGTATTCTAATTAAAAAGCGTCGCAAAACAGCGCATACACGACCGACTGCATGCGATTTTGTTTGACCAAGGCAGTTTTTTTCGCAGTTCTTCAAATCAAATCAGCACGACCGTGAACAATTGTTTGAAAAGGTTTTCTTACTGTTCGTTAGGTACAATATTAAGGCCATATTTTACTGTCTAGTAAACGATCGAATACTCGATTTTCATATCGTCATCAACTTTGGATGGCATGATAAGATACAATATCGTATTACTCTACATGTCAAACGTTAATTTACACCCACAAACTAGATGATACGAGTTTGGCGCCACTTTCAACATATTGTACTTAAGAGCTTCGGAAATGATAAACATGTCAGATAAAATCTGTCATTAAATCTGAAAGATTCTAGATATAAATGTATTCTAATGTATAGTCAAATTAACTCATAGTTACTATGTCACGAATAGATTTAGTAATCAAAAAGATTTGAGAAATGAAGTTTGAAAATTAATGTATTTAAGCAAATATTTATCTTCAATTTATTTAGCGTTGTTGAATAGAATACATGGAGTTAGTTATGAAAAACTACTTTTCCAATTTTAGGAAATAAGTTTTTCCTGAAAATATGTGAAAAAAAAAGCTAACTATCATGATTAGAGTCGTTCATAATCATAGATATGTAATTTTCACTTTGTAAACCATTATAAGGGTTATTTCCTGACTTTGAAGACAAAATTAATCAAGAAAATTCTTTGTACGTAAGATTTTTTGTTGTTCATTTTTGTTTTCACAATCAGGAAATAATTCTTGGAATGTTCTACTAAGTGAAAATTACATATCTGTGATAATAGACGATTTTAATCATGATTATTTTTTTTTCGATTATTTCCAGGAATAACTTCTTTTCAAAAATTCGAAATGTAGTTTTTCATAGGTATTCTTTATGTGATCATATATTTTCATTTAATTTACAGAGAAAAATGTTTTAAATTAATTCATACAGATGCAAATTGAATTTCAACTTCTAAATACTGATTATGGATAAGTATGTATATTAAATGTTATAGTTGAAATATTTTTATAATTTAAGTAATATTCTATGTTTTTTTTTCATATCATTATTTTGGTAGTTATCAAAAAAATTGTTCATGTACGTTAAATAAAATAATATTATTATAAATTCATCGTATTACACTGCTATTATTTAATTTCGAATGATTCTATTATTATTATTCTCATTACTAAAACATTTCAGACGTTGAAATAGTCTATCGGTTTACTATTATTATATTTGTATAGAACAGTGAATGCTTTGACTCAGGTCTAACTTTTTTCTTTAAACAAATTCATAGTAATAGAAAAAAACAATTACATTCGCTATAAATAAGTTTTGAAACGTCACATGTAAAACGTTAAAATGATCATAAAATTGAAAAAAACATCAGTACACTCATGTGAACAATTTTTTTTTTCATAGAATCTTCTTAGGTGTCATATGAATATAACTATCATGATAAGTATGTCTGTCTGTCTGTCTCAATACCTAAAAAAAAACAACATTGTTCATTCCGAACAATAGTAGGCAAGCAATTGAATATGTTATTGTTATCTTTTCATCTAATCGCCATCGTCAATGCTTGAAGAGTCTTGTTTCGAATCAGACGTTGCACAGCATTTGCTTTTCTCTTTTTGTTTTTATTTGATTAAAACATGCTTCTATACATGAAAGACAATGAGATTCTATTGGAAAGGCTTCATAGCTTTTCGAAAAAAGCTCTTCAATTTTTGATTATCATATAATGTACTTTTTGCATTTACTCAATATGATAATGATAATCTTGATAGTATTAATTGGTTTTTTTATTTCAATTCAAGTGTGAATTTTAATTTAACAGAATATGACTAATGGCAATTCCCATTTTACTTTCAATCGCATATGGGTTTGCTCATGTCACCTGCTTCTATCTCTTCAATCGTATTAAATTATTAATACTCTAAGCTTGGTCAATGAATCTATCTTTTTTTTTTTTTTGGTAAGCAACTATTGTGTAATGTAAATAAAATCTTATTACACTTTTTTAATATTAAAATTACTAATATAAATAACTCTAAGAAAAAATTTTCATTAATATGAAAATTAAAAGTCATGTAGACATATGACATGTACGTTTTAAGGTTTTCTCACCTTTCCTATCATTAATAATTCAAATGAATCAATCGAAACGGAAAGGAAAAAATTAAATTTTAATTTGAATCAAAGAAAATAGGCTACTTTTTTTGGTCAATTATGAAAAAATGTCCGCATAGCAGAATCGAGAAAGGGAGGGAAAAGAAAAAGAAAAATGACTGCATCGTAGAATCGACAATGTGGGTGACGACAAGGCTCACAGCTTAATATTTATTCATACATCGAGCTACTTTCATTGATCCTCTTACTATGTCTATCTTCGCATGTTACTATAATGCATCCATTCCCGCCTCTCATTCAGCTTTGCCGACGATCATATGAGAACATGAACGTATGATACATATGAATGCAACATTCTTATCTGTGTATATTATCAAATTTCTCAATGGTAAAAAAAGAAAAAGAAAATTAAAACTCAATGATAGTTGTTTCAATTGATAGACATTCAGTGTATTCTATATGCGTGAACATTTCACTTCCACATGATTGCATTCAATCTATTATAACTTAAAACGATAGGAAAAAGGAAATGCACTATGTTACAGAACATGCTTTGCTTTTAAAATATATTTTTGTTCGATTAACAATGCATGTTTGTTCATCATCTTAACTTGCACTTGCTTGATTGTTGTTTGACCTTGTCTATACAAATCGAAATAGTATGTATTCTGAATACTTGTACCGGTATATATAGCAAACATTTACATATCCTTCAATATTTGTCTAAATGTATACAGAAGAAGTATGTACAAGACTTCCTTCCATTTTCATACTTCATCTTACAGAGAGACATTGTTCAATGAATAATGTTCAAGTCGGATATTTAATCATTGAATAAATGTTACAGTCTGAATGAATCAGATGGCTATCCGATAGTATAAAATATGAAT